TGTGTGTGTGTGTGTGTGTGTGTGTGTGTGTGTGTGTGTGTACAATGGAGAAGAGATGTGGAAGAAGGAAAAGAAAATTACTAGGACAGCAGAGGGATGGAGGGTGAAGAAATAGGTAAGGTGACTTGGGGACACAGGAAGCTAAATGTAACAGACCAATAGTAATTAATATAAAACACAATGTACAGAAATTATTGCATAAAACAAAATGCACACATGAATGAAACAAAGTATATGAATAATTGTATAAAATGAATGATAGTATAAACAAATATTACTTTTATTATTTATTATTTATACTTATACTGTATTAATATGTTATATTATTATAACTTATACTGTATTTAGAAAGAGAAAAGAAAAAAAACAAAAATCCTCACCCACTAGAACATTAGACAAAATCACAATATTTGAAGAAAAGGTTGACATTGTCAATGATTTCCTTTTACTTGGATCCACAATCCAAACCCATTGTAACGGTAGTCTAGGATCAAAAGACATGTTGCATTGGGGAAAATCTCCTCTTAAGAGCCTCTTCAAAGTGCTAAAGAGTAAGAATGTCCATTTAAGGACTAAGGTACATGATCCAAACCATGGTTTTTTCAGTTGCTTCCTATGCATTTGAAAGGATGACAGAAGATGAGTCAAGGCCTTTGAATTGTGCTGGTGAAGAGTAAGGGCTGCAAAAGAACAAGCAGGTCTGCCTAAAAGGAAGTGTAACCGGGGCGCTCTTGAGGTGAGGATGGTGAAACTTCATTCACTTACTTTGGACATATTTTCAGGAGGAACCAGTCCTTGGAGACCAGTATTATGCTGGGAAGGGTAGAATCAGGAGAAAAAAGGAAGAGAGGGATGCCCACAGTGAAAATCACGATGGGTTTGAGTATGACAGAGATCATGAAGATGGTGCAAGATGGTACAAGATTTGCTATTGATATACAAGGTCACTATGAGTCAGAGCCAACTTGACGGCACCTAACAACAATAATCAAACGTTACCATAAACAGAACTCTAGGTCCAGAGAGTTTCACAATCAGTTCAGCCAAACGTTTACCAAGTAATAACACCCAACACTTCAGATTAAGAAAACAATGCTTGCTTCTCAACTCACTTTAAGAAGTCAGCATGTCCTTGAGAGCAAAACTAATAAAGGGTCTGATGAAGAAGGGAAATCTCTCTTGTAAAGAGAGATGCTAAAATATTAAAAAATTAGCAAATAAAATACATTCACATATCAAAAGGAAAATCCCTAGATTATTAAATTCTTAGAGGCCACTAATGTAATCCACCACATTAAAAGAAACAAAAGAGAAGTGAAATAGGAATAACTCAATAAAATTCAATAAATACAGAAGGAAAAGAAACCCTTCTGATAAAATTCAACAACGATTCAGGATTAAAATCAAGCAAGCAAATAAAACGAACTATTTTGAAAGCCAGGAACTCCCTGAATTTCAAAGGAAACTGCCTCAATCTGCTAAAAAATATCTATAAAAATCCTTCAGCAAATATAAAAATCAACAGCAAAATGTTGAAAGCTTTCCGCTTGATATTTTGATATTTTCCACTTGATATTTTGAATGAGAAAAGGATGCCTGATTATCACCACTTCCCAGTCTATACTTTATTACCAGATCGAATAAGTGCGAATCAGCTTTGGTTTGGTTCTGACTCAACACAACGATGAATAATTACTTAAATTATCAGTTGAGTCTAGCATGTTTGAATTCAAATTTGATATAAATTGAGTAAGGTGTATGGATACCTCCACGCGATAATTGTTGCTCTATTACAAAGTATATTCTTAACACCTCATTTACCGATTAAGAGTTCCTTTCCTGCGACAAACAGTTCGGCCACAACATCACGAAGCTCCACTTCCTCTGTAGCAAAAGGTCCTGTTTGCAGCGTTCGCCTGTGTGAATCCGAGAGAGCTTCCAACACGGCCAGAAACCGAGCTGCATTGCTGTCGAACATCTCATCCAACAACCGTTCAGTGAGGGTCCGTGGCCACGGCAGCTGGAATTTTAAAAAAGAAAAAAAAAAAGTCCATTTTTTTCCCAAGTTCTCTAACAGTTCACATATAAGAGGGGGTGGGGAGAAGAAAGACATGCTGCTTTTTCGGTTTTCATTTTTTCAAGTGTCTCTCCAGACTCCATTCAAAATACAGGTCATACTATCATGACATCGAAGACTATGCTATTTCTTATATGTTTGTGTGTGCAAGACAGAAGAAAGTGGTTGTTTAATATTACTGTCTTTGAAGTAGGCCGGCATCGATCTCCACAAGCCTGATAGAACTGTAATTACTGTCTTTAATAGTGATGCCTGAGCTGCATAAGAATGTCTCCAGGGCTTTTACATTCCCATGTCAAACCTCCAGGGATTTTGTGGCTTTTAGAGTGGCATCTTAATAGGCACTGCGGAAGAAAGTAAGGCAGAGTGTCCTCAAACCCAAATCTGAAACACTAGAGACAGTATTTTAATAAATGTGTTTAATAAGCTCATCAAAATTTAGCATAAGCCAGCTTGCAGTAGTTCATTATAAAGACTTAACAGACTGCCTACTAATGATAGATCAGACTATTAATATCCTCCTTGAGTTCCTCGTCATTCCATTTTGTACTAGTCCAGAATGATTTTAGGAAGCTCTGATTCAAATCCACCAGTTGCTTTGAGGGGGGAAAAATGGGCAATCTCTTCCCATAAGGAATCAACTCGATAGTGGGGGCAAAAAGTAACTTCATTCCATTTAGATAACGTGCTTTCATCCTTAATACTGATGGAACCACAAATGAACTCCTCTCTAGCTCTAGCCTGGCAATAACTAAGGGAAGTGGTTCTGTTTACTTTTCTAGAAACTATATGGAGCTAAAAGATACCCATCATATTCCCAGGAGTCCCTTGTTTCTTTCTCTTCTTTGGTCAAATTTGAAAGACATGGAAACAAAAGCTAGGATTGTTGTTATGTGCCATCGAGTCACTTACGACTCATAGCGACCCTATGTACAACAGCCTTAAACCCTGCTCTATCCTGTGCCTATCGCACTGCCTCTGACACACCCATCCCGATTACCCCAGTCACTGAATCAATCCACCTCATAGAGGATCTTCCCCTTCTGCGCCGTCCCTCCACCCCACGAAGCATGATGTCCCTCTCCAAGGACATCTCCCTCCTTACAACATGTCCAAAGTATGTCAGATGAAGCCCCAGAATCTTTGCCTCCAAGGAGCAGCCTGGTTTAACCCTCTCCAGGCTAGGATTAAACTGATTTAAATTATTTTTCCCAAACACTAGCTTCTCTACTCATTAGTTTCTAAGCCTTTTCCATCCACATGTTAACTGATCCATTTAAAACCTCAATAAACTTTTTATGTTTGAAGCATTAACTCCAGCCCAAGAAGAGTTGGAGCATAAGCAAAGAGGTCTTTATGCCAGGCCTCCTACAAAGCAGCCAGCCTGCAAATCAACCAGTGGGAAAGCTGAGGAAGCTATTGGCTACAAAAGCCACTGATGCCCTCTACTGAAGTGGTAAAGAAACCTCATCATTACAGTCCTAGAACTGGCACTCCATGAATCAGATGTTAGCAGAAGTCCACTCAACTTCTGATTTAAAAAAATTTGCAACCTAAGTGCCCATCAACAAATGAATGGATACAGAAGCTCTGGTATATTCACACACTCAAATACTACACTACATTGAAAAACAAGGAACACATGAAATATTATATAAAATGGGTGACCTTGGAGGACATTATGGTGAGTGAAATATCTCAGTCACAAAAGGACAAATACTGCATAGTGCCACTGTTGTAAAGCGGAACTGACATCAGGGTAGGGGGTAGACTGAGAAAGATGGGATAAATTATGTATACTGCATTGAAACAGATAAGCTAGAGAACTGTTTAAAAGAAATACATGATTAGGTATTATTGTCATGGCAGGAGTCCAGAATGAAGGCTGCATGGAGTGGACTTGGGGGAGGGATTGTATAACAATGAAAGAATTTTACTTTTCAAAGAGAAGAGCAAACTGGGGGGGGGAGGGGTAGAAAAGTGCAACACTGAATGAATGGAAATCTAATGTCTCTGTAAATTTTCATTAAAATTAATA